ACAGATCAGCAGTTGTCCACGCGATCAATTGTAATCACAAACGGGAACCGCCAACATTGCTTGACGACAAGCATCACGCCATTTTCTGAATCTACAATTCACACCACCACGTTGGTCACAGTCAAAAATACATTCCAAATGCAATCCGCAGCTCACAGGGTCACGCCATGCATTCAACTCAGAAGCTGGGCGACGAAACTATATCCAGTCTACAAATGAAGCAAAAATACTTCGGCCACCGTCCGGCAGAAGCAAAAAATTTGCCTCTGCTTCGAACAGCGCCGGAAGGGATCTGTTAAGAGAAATGTTGCAGGAAATCTTTTTCAGGGAGAGGCTGCGTGGTCCACCTCGAGTGCTAGAGGCTTCGGGTTTAATCGGTAAGGGATGGGGTTTTTTCTCGTGGACTTGGACTTCTAGTAATTTCCCCTGGTCTCTGGATAGTGAGATCAGACTCCCGCGTGCATTGTTGGGCACGTAAAAAATCCCTTGGCAGTTAAAAATCGAAAAGAGTAGTCTAAAAGCGCTGCACGGGAAAAATTTGTAGCAAATAATCTACCCAAAGTATTTCAGGATCCTAACCGGTGCTACAGAGCCTGTGCACTGTGCTAAGCTTCTTCGGACAGACCTGAGTCAGAAGAAGAACGGATCACTAATGGGTTACTACCCGTATGCAGTGATGTTAGTCCGTTGTTCAAACCTTAAGCCTCAAACCTTTTTCGGGGGGTTAGGGTGATGTTTCTAAAACTGCTTCGGGCGATGCATCAGGAAATGATTGGGGAGGTGTTTCAAATGTTTGGTGAGATTTGACGTAGGAATACTCGTAGCTGCGGGAGGTGTGTCAAGTGTGAGACTGACTATGCGAGATTTTCTTGTCAGAAATGATCATGGGTGACATTTACTTTTTCCTAAGTGTCTTGTGTCTGCAGTAATCAGAACTGCGCCCACAATTTAACTTCATAAGGGGCTAGAGGGGGGAGCGTGGTAGGGGGAGATTTGTTCAGTGTAATCTTGTTTTTGTTTTTCATTTGGGAAGGAGGTAAAAATTTTTGGAGGCCCCGAGTTCTAACTTGTCGAACAAACGCTATTAATAATTTGTTTTCTGATTTCTGCATTGCTTGGTATTTTCGTCAACAGTTAGGAAATAACTGACATTATGTGATTAAAATTATTCACAGAAGCGCCAACTACACCAGCAGCAACTACAACAACGGGTGAGTGGGGATTAGTTTTTTTTTTTTTTTTTTTTTTTTTTTTTTCAAGATATCTTGGTTAATTGTTTCCGAGAATATTTGGTGAGATGATTTAGTAAACGTTTGTGGAGATGTTTCAGGAAATCTTTGTAGATATTTTTCAGGAAGTGTTTGAGGAGATCATTTTGGAAATGTTTAGGGACACGTTTCAGGAAATGTTTATGAGAATATTTCAGAAAATGTTTGGGGAGATGTTTCAGGAAATGTTTTGGGGAAATATTTCATGCTATGTTTTAGGATTTTTTTTAGGAAATGATTGGGGAGATTTTTAGGAAATGTTTGTCGATTGGTTTTAGGAAATGATTGGGGAGATGTTTTAGGAAATGTTTGTCGATTGGTTTTAGGAAATGATTGGGAAGATGTTTTCGGAAATGTTTGTCGATTGGTTTTAGGAAATGATTGGGGAGATGTTTTAGGAAATGTTTGTCGATTGGTTTTAGGAAATTATTGGGGAGATGTTTTAGGAAATGTTTGTCGATTGGTTTTAGGAAATGATTGGGGAGATGTTTTAGGAAATGTTTGTCGATGTGTTTCAGGAAATGTCTGGTCAGCTGTAACAGGAAAAGTGAGTGTAGCTGAGGGCATTGTGGCAGGGAGAGATGAGGCAATAAGAGATGTGAGATGTGGCTATGTGAGATGTGGCTATGTGAGATGTGACTATGTGAGATGTTGCTATGTGAGATGTGGCTATGTGAGATGTGGCTATGTGAGATGTGGCTGTGTGAGATGTGGCTATGTGAGATGTGGCTATGTGAGATGTGGCTATGTGAGATGTGGCTATGTGAGATGTGGCTATGTGAGATGTGGCTGTGTGAGATGTGGCTATGTCAGATGTGGCTATGTCAGATGTGGCTATGTCAGATGTGGCTATGTCAGATGTGGCTATATCAGATGTTGCTGTGAGAGATCCTTGGGGGAGATTTTCGCTGGGTGTTGGATCGCTTCGGAAGATAGAACTGAGGGAGAATGACTGGAAAGATGTGACCCAAATCGATATGACTGCTGGGATGACACACAATAGTGCCATATTCTGAATGTCACTGGGTATATCTTAGGGAGATATATTTAAAACAGATTTGAGTGAGGAAGACTGTTGGAAGTGAGGGGTAGGGGGCTTGTCTTGTCTTATACCCAAGAAGGGCGCGAACTGAAAAATATTGGAGACCACTGGTTTACGCTCCTGCTAAATGTTTCTAGGCCGTGGATCCGTAAGGCTTTGACTGGGAGAGTGTCAAAGTGCCTGAGTTCATACACTCTTACTTGTCGAGGAATGACTACTACACATTTAAATAGGGACTTATGTATTGTCTGGTATTTTGTCAATAGCAACGAAATAATTGACATATAAAGTTAAAATTATTCTCAGAAGCGCCAAACACACCAGCAGCAACTACAACACCGGGTAAGTGGGTATTACTTCTTGATTTTAAGACATCTTGGTTATTTGTTACAAAAATGTTCGAGGAGATGTAGTAGGAAATATTTGAGAAGATGGTTCGATGGGTAAATGTTTTGAAAAATGTATGCGGAAATGTTTTGGATGATATTTAAGAAAATGTGTGGGTAGGTGTTTCCTGAAATGTGTTTGGAGATTTTCATTTACAATAACGAAATAATTGACACTATATATTTAAAATTATTTGCAGAAGCGCCAACCACACCCGCAGCAACTACAACAACGGGTGAGTGGGGATTACTTCTTGATTTTAAGACATCTTGGTTATTTGGTAGTCTGGTAGTCTGGTAGTCTTAGTTTCAGCTTCATAGCAAACGGGTTACCCCATCTTTGCTCCGCTCCTGTGCCAACGGAAAACACACCTAATGATTATCCCAGTCCCTTGTGGAAAGATTGACAGACTGCTGTCTCAGCATATCTAGCATATACACCCTCATTAAAGTATACGGTAGCTATCTGAAGTGCTAACACAAACAGTCCAACATTAGAAATGCAGTTCATCACTGATGGTAGCAGAAGTCACAAACAGATCAGCAGTTGCCCACGCGGTCAATTTTAATCACCAACATTGTGACGACAGGAATCGCGCCATGTTCTGAATCTAAAATTCACACCACCACGTTGGCCACGGTCGAAAAAACATTCCAAATGAAATCCGCAGCTCGCAGTGTCACGCCATGCATTTAACTCAGAAGCTGGGCGACGAATCTATATCCAGTCTACAAAATGAGCAAAAATGCATCGGCCACCGCCCGGTAGAAGCAAAAAATTTGCATCGGCTCCAAACAATGCCCCTGCCTAGCGTCCATTTTGACCGGAAGTCTTGCTCATCTTCTTGGTTATTTCTTCCAGGAAGTGCTCTAGGTGGTTCTGGAAAGGTTTGAGAAGATGTTTCAGGAACTGCAAGTATTTCAGGAAATTGACAGCAACCAACCTGTTTGTACTGTCATGGGACGGTGCATAACATAGAGACGGTGTGCTGTGTGTACATGCATGACGGAAAGTTGACGGACAGGTCAGCACGGTAGAATCAGGAGTGTCCATGTATGTGCCTTGAGTAGCGATGGAAAATACAGTTTAGCCCGATACAGTTGTGACGGCGATAAAGTGTGACTGAACTGAACGACCAACCCAAGAGGTCTTGAGACAAGGGCATTCGGACAGTGGACGGGAAACAGGAGATATGATATAGTTTGATAGAGTAAAATGTGAGGGTGTGACCGAATAGACTGTGATAATGTGTTTCCTTATTATGATTGCATAGCTTCTCTGTGTTGTGTAGCGTCAGACGGTGACGCAGTTTTGGCCTGTCCTATTCGATTCTTCATCTCTGTGATACACTTCTATTGGAGTGATAATATACATTTCAAATTTTTTCCAGACTCTATCAAATAACTAACAGTATTTGTTTCAAATCATTTACAGAAGCGGCAACTGTACCAGCAACAGCTACAACACCGGGTGAGTAGGTGTTACTTTTTTTGAAACTTCTTTTTTTTTCATTCTTTCTTTCTTTCTTTCTTTCTTTCTTTCTTTCTTTCTTTCTTTCTTTCTTTCTTTCTTTCTTTCTTTCTTTCTTTCTATCTTTCTTTCTTTCTTTCTTTCTTTCTTTCTTTCTTTCTTTCTTTCTTTCTTTCTTTCTTTCTTTCTTTCTTTCTATCTTTCTTTCTTTCTTTCTTTCTTTCTTTCTTTCTTTCTTTCTTTCTTTCTTTCTTTCTTTCTTTCTTTCTTACTTTCTTTCTTTCTTTCTTTCTTAATTTGTTTTCTATGTTTCTTTCTTTCTTTCTTTTGTTTCTGCGTTCGACCTTAAAAGAGCAGTTGGCGCAGTTTTATAATTAATTGATACATGGTATAGTTCAGTCTGTGATATCTGAACCTATCGGACCAATCCGATTTCAGAAAGCTTTTGACCTCTTTTCGCCGCAAAATGTTGTTGAATGAGATCAGGGGGGAACCTCATGTCTCCAACAAGCATGTCGTAAAAGAAAATAATTACCAGTGTTTAATTTAAAGTTGGAGTGCATGTGCCTGAGAGGCCAGGAACAAATGGCTGGGGGGAAAAAAACAGCTTCATCTCTAAAACGGATGTGCATGCCAAACTCAAGTTCTGAAACAAGACCAACTTTCAGAAGTTGACGAACAACAATAACTTTCCACCGCAGTTTTGTAGACACGGAAAGCGAAGAAGAAGAAAGAAGATCTGCTTTATTCGGATAGGAATGAGATAATAAACTTATATTTTCACAGGAAAAAGAAAAATGTCTGGACCTGACGTGTTTTTGTTTTCTTTCCAGTCGAACCATGCCCTAGTCAGACAAAAGCGGATATTATTTTTGTAATCGACTCGTCGGACAGCATCACCGATCATCACTACATCAAAGCTCTCAGCTTTCTAGCACAGCTTGTTGACGATTTCCAGTTTGGCGACGAGGATGTGCTCTTTGGGATGGTAATTTATAGCTGGAGTGTGCAGAAGATATTTGACTTGAATACTTTTAATAACACGGAGGACATAAAGAAGGTACTTTCTGTTTGAGCCTATGTATTTTTAACTCCTCCTCCTCCTTCTTTTCTCCCCCTTCTTCTTCTTCTTCTTCTTCTTCTTCTTCTTCTTCTTCTTCTTCTTCTTCTTCTTCTTCTTCTTCTTCTTCTTCTTCATCTTCTTCTTCTTCTTCTTCTACTTCTTCTTCTTCTTCCTCTTTTTCTTGTTCTTCTTTTTCTTGTTCTTCTTCTTCTTCTTTTCTTTTTCTTCTTGTACTTCTTCTTCTTCTTCCTTGTTTTTTTTCTTCTGTCTCCTGTTCGTCCATCTCTTGTTGTCCCTCTTATATCACTGTTAACTTCTTGTTCACCCGCCCTAAAATCTTTCCATTCAATCCAATTTTATCTTACGTCATTTAGGATGGCCAAAATGTGTCCCCTGTGATATTATAATTATCTCGACTTTTGTTTTATCATTCTTATTTAAGTCATTTTCAGCTCGTTTTCGTAACGAATCTTCGAAGTGTTTTCTTCTTCTTTTTTACAACACAGGCCATACTGGCAGCCCCACACTTCAAGAGCTCCACTCTAACCCACAAGGCCTTTGACTTTGTGAATCAGAACAATATGTTTGGTACAGAACATGGGGGTCGGGACAATGCTACGGATATCCTCGTGCTAATGACGGACGGGAAGTCTGGATACAAGGATCTCAGTAAGTATCGGGTATTACATGAATGAGTGGTTGATCGTCTATTTGTCAATTTGTCGGTAGTTGTTGCTTGCTTGTTGTACCCCACCAGGACATCACACAAGCGATAAACACCCGATGAAACAAAGTGCCATCATGCGGATGAGGTTTATCGTAGAGCTCCCAGAAACACCTTTCGGCCGTTATGGTCACAATATGGCCCAGCTATATTCAGGGCCCTCGTCAAAAGCTAGTGTAGGACATCAAATAACGAAAGATTGCATCCTATATGGGGATGACTGAATGGTCGGTAGTTGATTCCCTTTACGGTTACTCTCAGTGGGATTTACACCCAAGGGATGAGATTGAAACAGACGACTATGGGATATCCAGTTAACGGTAAGACATAGTTATATAATGGGATGTTTTTTTAATGACTCTTTTTGTTTTCACAAAATTGCCATTCCTATTTTTGTAATCAGCGTCCGTAGAGTTAATGCAGCTTGTATTGCTATAGTTTCCTATTTTTGTTTTTGTTTTCACACTTTACAGCTCTATTCACAATAGATTCTACTGGTTAAATTGGTAACATTATTATAATGAGGCATTTGAGTATGAGCAAATGACGTCATAATTTTTTTTTTCAACAACCACATTCGAATACCTGCCACCATTAAGGAACACATGCTCAACCAAATAATACTCCTTCTTAAATAGATGATGATGACGGAACACTCGTTGCACTGTACCTGTCGTAATTCATCATCATCTTGTAGCAGGTATTTGCAGAACGTTAGTCTCTAGCCAGCTCTCCCACCGCATGTACTTTCAAATTAAAGGAGTCACTTATATCCTGTGCCCATCTTCGTGTTGGTCGGCCCCTGTCCCTCCTTCCTGGTACCATGCCTTCTGCTATAATTTTTCTCCAGTCCGTCGTGGTGCTTGATATTAGCACACAAAATTTCAGTTTCCAAGACAAGATGTTGTTTATTATTCCTTGCTGTTCAGATCTTTCGAGTTGTAAGTATTTCTTCTCTTCTTTATCCTATCGTAATTACCACCATAAAAAATGTGAACAGGACATCCCAAAAAAAATGATAAAAATTACATCAACGTCTGCTGAAAATTATTGTACGATATCAATCAATTAGTTGCCGTCTCCACAAAGAGGGTTGGCTGCAGTGGATCTCCGGAATTCTGTCTCTTGTCTTGGTTGTACACTCACTCAGACAGCTAGATAGGTAGGTAGGTATGTAGTTGAACCCCACCCTGACATCACACAAGCGATAAACACCCGGGGACACAAAGTACCAACATGCGGATGAGGATCACCCGTGGAGAAGTCCCAGAAACCTCTTTCATCCGTTAGGCCATATCTATAGCTAGACCAAATCTATAGCTAGGTCATATCTATAGCTAGGCCATATCTATAGCTAGACCAAATCTATAGCTAGGCCATATCTATAGCTAGACCAAATCTATAGCTAGGTAATATCTATAGCTAGGCCATATCTATAGCTAGGTAATATCTATAGCTAGGCCATATCTATAGCTAGGCCATATCTATAGCTAGGTAATATCTATAGCTAGGCCATATCTATAGCTAGGCCATACCTATAGCTAGGCCATACCTATAGCTAAGCCATATCTATAGCTAAGCCATATCTATAGCTAAGCCATATCTTTTGCTAGGCCATATCTATAGCTAGGCCATATCTATAGCTAGGCCATACCTATAGCTAAGCCATATCTATAGCTAAGCCATATCTATTGCTAAGCCATATCTATTGCTAGGCCACATCTATAGCTAGGCCATATCTATAGCTAGGCCATATCTATAGCTAGGCCACATCTATAGCTAGGCCACATCTATAGCTAGGCCATATCTATAGCTAGACCATATCTATAGCTAAGCCATATCTATAGCTAGGCCACATCTATAGCTAGGCCATATCTATAGCTAGGCCACATCTATAGCTAGGCCATACCTATAGCTAGACCAAATCTATAGCTAGGTCATATCTATAGCTAGGCCATATCTATAGCTAGACCAAATCTATAGCTAGGTCATATCTATAGCTAGGCCATATCTATAGCTAGACCAAATCTATAGCTAGGCCATATCTATAGCTAGACCAAATCTATAGCTAGGTAATATCTATAGCTAGGCCATATCTATAGCTAGGTAATATGTATAGCTAGGCCATATCTATAGCTAGGCCATATCTATAGCTAGGTAATATCTATAGCTAGGCCATATCTATAGCTAGGCCATACCTATAGCTAGGCCATACCTATAGCTAAGCCATATCTATAGCTAAGCCATATCTATAGCTAAGTCATATCTTTTGCTAGGCCATATCTATAGCTAGGCCATATCTATAGCTAGGCCATACCTATAGCTAAGCCATATCTATAGCTAAGCCATATCTATTGCTAAGCCATATCTATTGCTAGGCCACATCTATAGCTAGGCCATATCTATAGCTAGGCCATATCTATAGCTAGGCCACATCTATAGCTAGGCCACATCTATAGCTAGGCCATATCTATAGCTAAGCCATATCTATAGCTAGGCCACATCTATAGCTAGGCCATATCTATAGCTAGGCCACATCTATAGCTAGGCCATATCTATAGCTAGACCATATCTATAGCTAATCCATATCTATAGCTAGGCCATATCTATAGTTAGGCCATATCTATAGCTAGGCCATATCTATAGCTAGGCCATATCTATATCTAGGCCATATCTATAGCTAGGCAAAATCTATAGCTAGGCCATATCTATAGCTAGGTCATATCTATACCTAGGCCATATCTATAGCTAGGCCATATCTATAGCTAGACCATTTCTATAGCTAGGCCATATCTATAGCTAGGCCATATCTATAGCTAGGCCATATCTATAGCTAGGCCATATCTATAGCTAGGCCATATCTATAGCTAGGCCATATCTATAGCTAGGCCATACCTATAGCTAAGCCATATCTATAGCTAAGCCATATCTATTGCTAGGCCATATCTATAGCTAGGCCACATCTATAGCTAGGCCATATCTATAGCTAGGCCACATCTATAGCTAGGCCATATCTATAGCTAGACCATATCTATAGCTAAGCCATATCTATAGCTAGGCCACATCTATAGCTAGGCCATATCTATAGCTATACCACATCTATAGCTAGGCATATCTATAGCTAGACCATATCTATAGCTAAGCCATATCTATAGCTAGGCCATATCTATAGTTAGGCCACAACTATAGCTAGGCCATATCTATAGCTAGGCCATATCTATAGCTAAGCCATATCTATACCTAGGCCATATCTATAGTTAGGCCATATCTATAGCTAGGCCATATCTATAGCTAAGCCATATCTATAGCTAGGCCATATCAATAGTTAGGCCACATCTATAGCTAGGCCATATCTATAGCTAGACCATATCTATAGCTAAGCCATATCTATACCTAGGCCAAATCTATAGTTAGGCCATATCTATAGCTAGGCCATATCTATAGCTAGGCCATATCTATATCTAGGCCATATCTATAGCTAGGCAAAATCTATAGCTAGGCCATATCTATAGCTAGGTCATAACTATACCTAGGCCATATCTATAGCTAGGCCATATCTATAGCTAGGCCATATCTATAGCTAGACCATTTCTATAGCTAGGCCATATCTATAGCTAGGCCATATCTATAGCTAGGCCATTTCTATAGCTAGGCCATATCTATAGCTAGGCCATATCTATAGCTAGGCCATATCTATAGCTAGGCCATATCTATAGCTAGGCCATATCTATAGCTAGGCCACATCTATAGCTAGGCTATATCTATAGCTAGGCCATATCTATAGCTAGGCCATTTCTATAGCTAGGCCATATCTATACCTAGGCCATTTCTATAGCTAGGCCATATCTATGCCCTGGCTATATTAGGAGCCACCGGCAGAAGCCAGTGTAAGGTTTGCAAATAAAAAATTGCAATCCACATGGGGACGTTTTTTTTTTTATAATCATTTATATGTGTCCATATCTTGATGTTTTGCCACTTGTATCGTTTTTTATGGGCTTAAAAAGAAAAGTGTTATGTCTTCTAATGTGGCCAAAATATTTCAATTTTTTTTTTTTTTTCAATTTTTTTTTTCAGCAACTTTATTTTTATTCGCAGTCTTTCTAGTACCTCCGTATTTTTGTTTCCTTAAAATAATACGTTTTTTTTTTTTTTTTTGAGGTGGGGGGGGGGGGGGAATCAAGATTTCTAGAGGTATAGTTCGATTATCTAAACAGGAAGAAGAAAAGAAAGAAATTTAAGACAGACAAGAAAAATGTTTTTAATAAAAGTAATTTTAAAAATCAAACTTTTGTTCGCTGTGGCACCCTTGTTAGTTTGAAAAAAAAATTGCAGCACACCTTCCCTTAAAGCGGTTGAATTCTTAAGGACAGAAGGAAAAAAGTGCAAATTTAATGTTCACTTGTCTTTATTGCGATGAATTTTTTTGTTTGGATGAATTTTGTCTTACATCCTTTTCATTTTCATTTTTAGACATTCTTTTCATGGTGGATGACCCTGTTTGAAGAGACGAAGTGCGGCGTTTGAATATTTCTTATCCTTTATCTACTAAATCAGAATGATTGCATTCCAGGTGTCTCTGTAATTTAGACGGAACCAATCAGCTGTTAGCAACACATCTATGGCAGTTAACGCATTGCACTTCTGGTGCTTGTTTGTTCCCAACCAAAACAAAAACAAAGAAAGAAAGATAGATAGATAGTTAGGATAATATTTTCTTAATTTTCCTTAGGTTTTCTTGTGTGGTTGTGAGTTGCCTTTCCGCGAACTGAGGCAGACCAAATTGGATGTCTTAGGCTTGCAGGTGTCTGCTGAGACAATATAACCAGAACTTACTTTATAGACTGCACCTTAACGAATTCAGGTAGAGGATCGTTGGCACCTCTAGATAATTACAAGGACAATTCTCTGCTTGAGATATGCTGTCTTCACAACCTCTGCATCACAAATACCTTTTTTGATCTGAAGCCCCAGCACAAGGTCTCTTGGAGATATCCCAGATCTAAGCACTGGCACCAGCTTGACATCATCCTCGCTAAACGCAGTCACCTTCATCTTGTTAAGGTCACTCGCAGCTATCACAGTGCAGATTGTGACACAGATCACTCCCTTGTGTGCAGCAAAGTGAAGTTAATCCCAAGCAAAATACATCGGGCAAAGAGGCCAGGACGGCCCCGCATTGACACAGGAGAAAGTCGTAATCCTGGAAAAGAAGGAGAATTTATAAATATCCTGAGCACAGCTCTGCCCCGCCCACCAAACGCGGATGCTAGTGACAGATGGAAACATCTAAAACACGACCTATATGATTCTGCCATGTCCGTGTTCGGTAAGAGGCAAGTTAAATCACTGGACTGGTTTGAAGAACACAAGGAAGAAATGTTGCCAATAATAGAGGAGAAGAACAAGGCTTTATTGGGATATAAAATCCAGCCGAATATCAGAAATCTGCAAGTGCTCAGGTCCATTCGGTCTAGAGTCCAGAAAACTGCACGGCGCTGCGCTAATGATTGCTGGATCAAACTTTGTGAGAGGATACAAGCCTCAACAGCTACTGGCAACATAAGGGGAATGTATGCTGGCATCAAGAAGGCTAATGGGCCAGTAAAAAAAAAGATTGCCCCTCTCAAATCAACCACGGGAGAAATCATAAAGCTGGACCGATGGGTGGAGCACTACTCAGAGCTATATGCTACAAGCACCTTTGTATGTGAAGAGGCAATCTTTTTCATCTGTCCAGACTACGTGCAAGGACGAAGGTGCACACGAGATGCCTCAGGGATTTTCTGTTTGCGGATGATGCAGCCATTGTGGCACATTCAGAGGATGATCTGCAGATCCTGATGAATCGCTTTGCAAATGCTTGCAAAGAATTTGGGCTTACCATCAGTCTGAACAAAACACAAGTGATGGGATTAAATGTTGGAAATCCACCAAACATTAGTGTGTATGACCATCAGTTGCTGGCTGTATATGAGTTTGAGTACCTAGGCTCACGTATCTCAGGCAATCATTCTCTGGATGCAGAACTAAACAAACGTATAGGAAAGGCCTCTGCTATGTTTGCAAATCTCACAAAGAGAGTCTGGTGAAACAAAAAGCTAACTGATAATACAAAAATGAAGGTTTATGAGTCTTGTGTCCTGAGCACATTACTGTACGGCTGCGAATCCTGGACTCTCTATGCTCCACAGGAAAAAAGACTGAATACCTTCCATATGCGCTGTCTGAGACTCATCCTTGGTATATTATGACGAGACCTTGTCTCCAACGAATGTGTGCTCATAAGAGCAAAAATACCATCAATGTATTGTATACTGAAGCAAAGACGTCTGCGCTGGCTGGAACATGTCTCCCGCATGGAGGATGGTCGTATTCCAAAAGATCTCCTATATGGTGAATTGGTAACTGGGAATAGACCTACAGGAAGGCCAAAGCTGCGCTATAAAGATGTATGCAAACGTGACCTAATAGATACTAACATAGGCACAGAGACATGGGAAAAATCAGCTGCAGATCGACTACTATGGAGACAGAAAGTGAAAGACGGACTGTCATATTTTGAAAGAAACCTAACACAACGAGCTGTGGAGAGGAGACACCGGAGAGTAAAACTGCCTCACAACGAGGGTGTATCTGCTTTTGTGTGTATCCTGTGTGGCAAAGGCTGCCATTCCCGCATTGGACTTTACAGTCACAGCAGATGCTGATCCCAAAGCCAGCGGCACATCTCCATAGTTCCCCGGGACTGACGGATGCCATTACAACTCCAGGGTGACACGGCACATAGGTTGAATATCTCTGATCTAGTTAGTTACCTGTTGTCCAAGTTCCTGCAACAAACAACAGGTTTTAGTATTCATAACATTAATGTTTCTAATTGTTATTTTGTTGTTTATCTCTCTAGCTGTTAATAATTTTTGCAAGCTAATATTAGCCATTTCAATGCTTTTTTCATTTATGTTTCACTTCTGCCACAATCTGTTTTTACAATATATAAAATAGCAAAACATATACTCCGAAATGCCAGTTCAATAATGAGGATTGAATCGTATATTTTAATTTTAGCCTCACTATTAATACTACCAATACTACTAACAGTACACTGCTGCTGCTGCTGCTACTGCTGCTACTGCTGCTGCTACTGCTGCTACTGCTAATAGTACACTGCTGCTGCTATTGCTACTGCTGCTGCTACTGCTACTACTAATAGTACACTGCTGCTGCTACTGCTGCTACTGCTACTGCTGCTGCTACTGCTGCTACTGCTACTACTAATAGTACACTGCTACTGCTGCTACTGCTACTGCTGCTGCTACTGCTACTACTAATAGTACACTGCTGCTGCTACTGCTACTACTAATAGAACACTGCTGCAGCTCTGCTGCTGCTACTGCTGCTACTGCTACTACTAATAGTATACTGCTGCAGCTCTGCTGCTGCTACTGCTGCTACTGCTGCTACTGCTACTACTAATAGTACACTTCTGCAGCTCTGCTGCTGCTACTGCTGATGCTACTACTAATAGTACACTGCTGCTGTTGCTTTGCTGTTGCTACTGCTACTACTAATAGTACACTGCTGCTGCTCTGCTGATGCTACTACTACAAATAGTACACTGCTGCTGCTACTGCTGCTACTGCTACTGCTGCTGCTGCTACTGCTACTACTAATAGTACACTGCTGCTGCTACTGCTACTACTAATAGTACACTGCTGCTGCTCTGCTGATGCTACTACTAATAGTACACTGCTGCTGCTACTGCTACTGCTGCTGCTACTGCTACTACTAATAGTACACTGCTACTGCTACTGCTGCTGCTACTGCTGCTACTGCTACTACTAATAGTACACTGCTGCTGCTCTGCTGCTGCTACTGCTACTACTAATAGTACACTGCTGCTGCTCTGCTGCTGCTGCTGCTGCTGCTACTGCTACTATTAATAGTACACTGCTGCTGCTGTTGCTGCTTGTCCTGCTACTACTAATAGTACACTGCTGCTGCTCTGCTGCTGCTACTGCTGCTGCTGCTACTGCTACTGCTGCTGCTGATACTGCTAATACTAATAGTACACTGCTGCTGCTCTGCTGCTGCTACTGCTGCTGCTACTTTCACTACTAATAGTACACTGCTGCTGCTGCTACTGTTACTACTAGTACTAATAGTACACTGCTGCTGCTACTGCTACTGCTACTACTACTACTAATAGTACACTGCTGCTGCTGCTCTATTGCTGCTGCTGCTTCTGCTGCTACTACTACTAATAGTAAACTGCTGCTACTACTACTACTAATAGTACACTGCTGCTGCTGTTACTGCTGCTGTTCTATTGCTGCTTCTGCTGCTCCTACTACTACTACTCTTACTAATAGTACGCTGCTGCTGCTCTGCTGCTGTTACTCCTGCTGTTACTGCTGCTGTTACTGCTGATGTTACTGCTGCTGCTACTACTACTACTACTACTACTACTACTACTACTACTACTAATACTACAGGTAGGGATTTATGTCTGTTCAATTATTTTTGTGGTCTTGCTAACATAAGCATTGTCTGATCCAAAGAAGTTGCACAGAAGAGGAAATGACTATTTTTCTGCTTTATTCTCCAGCTATCAGGTTCGCAAGAATACTGAAGTCCAAAGGCATTCACATTATCACTATCGGTGTTGGCAAGCTCATTGACAAAAACGAGCTAACCAGAGTAGCTTCGAGCCCTAACAGTACATTTTTTACAGCCAGCTATGATGTTCTTGAGTATATAAAGTCAGATCTCGTCGCATACACTTGCGCTGGTTAGTATGTTACTTACAGATTTATTTTCATGACAGGGTTAGGGTTATACAGTTGAGTTTATTCAGTGGCCAAAATGTTCACAATGTGGATGGTAAGGACCACAAGCCCGAGTCTCAATGTAGAAAGTATCATGAAAAGATATAAAACCGAAACGAAAAATAGATCAGCGAGCTTCACAATATAACAAACACAAACGAAGCGTAAACGTTGCTGCTATGTAGCATTTATAAACACATACACAAATCAAATGAAACCAAACAAATACAAAAAGTAACTTAACTGACGTATCCCAAAGCAGCCACGCTGATGTCTTGCCAGTGGGATGACGGGACAAGCTAAGCCCCGAGAATATATAGCCGGAAATGTCAAGGGCCGTAACTCGAGAATTTAGAGGAGTTCAGAGAAAAGGATACGCAACTAACTTTTTAACTTACTGTGCAACTGACGGTTTCCTAATGTGGCAAATTATGGGGCTGGTATCCTTAGGACCCCCCTTTTTTTAATTCCTATAAACACTTTAGGTGGCTTTCCCCCCTTTCAAGACTTTAAAAAAAGTACAAAACTTTTTTTTTTCCAAGTACAAATTTATACGTCTCATACATTATCAAATTTGTTAATTTATTTATTTGAATTTTGCCCATTTTTAATTTCATTGTTATTTGTATTTTTTTTTTATATTATTATTTTTTTTTTTTTTTTTTTTTTTTTTTTTTTTTTTTTTTTTTTTTTGTAATTATCATCATTATAATTCTTAAAATACACTATAACGAGGCTTGAGCTTCTTGATCCCCACATCCTCGCCCCTTTTCCCTATATAACCTGTAACCGGGCAGAGAACCCTGATAGTGGAAGTGAACCCAAAACATTCATACAACGAGGCCAACACCTTAGCATTAGGTTTGGCATAGAGAATATCATCCTGTACTTTTACTGATTCTAGTTTTAGTCTTATTCGATATTTGTACTTCACTGCAATCGAGTCACTCCATACTTGCTGCACTGCAAAAGGAAAGATCATCAAAAAGGACATTGGAACTTTTGTTTCTACCACCAGCGGTATGATAATGGAGGTCATGGCTGTGACAAAGGCTATAGAATGGCTGAAAACTCAATTCCCCCATGCATGATTTCTCAATGACTCGATAAGCACATAAGATCAGGTTGCGGTATAGTACTGGAACAGATGTTCCATCTGATACAGCATTCAGCGACTAGCAAAATCACTATCGGTTTATTCCAGGGTATGCCGGTGCGAAAGGTAATGAAAGAGCAGACGGCCTGATTGGCACTGCGACTGTCAAAAAAAGGTCATTTATGGGCAAGAGGGACTTCATTAATCCTACAAGAGAGAGGGGGAGAGAGAGAGAGCGAGCGAGAGGGGGGGGGGGGGCTTTCAATTTCTTGGACAGTTATTCTTCACTGAAAAGGCTGCATACCCTCGGTGTCCTATTTGGAGCAGTGAGATTAAACACACACAAAAACACAAGAATAAATACCATGCGGGAGCCATCCGCCATTACAATAATCAGTCAGTACAGAATGGAAGCTGTAAGCCGAAAAACACTTAACTCTTTGAGTCCCAGGGGGTTTAGCATCACAGGCCCAGGGGGTAGTCAAGAAAGTAATAAAATCGGCGCATCATGCGTTCTTTGGGCTCCTAGGTAGGAAATTATGAACGTATGATGCGTTTCTTGGGACTCAAAGAGTTAAGAGACAAACTCAAGAGAAGATAGAAGCAGTAATGCTCATGTCCGATATGCGATGAAGAGGATCTTTAAAGAAACAGTATACAGTGAACAATATATACCCGGCTCGATAGCGCAGTTGGTTAAACCAGACTGCGCGGCGACCACGTTACCAACTCCTTGTAGTCCGGGTTCACTCCCGGGTGTAGGCAGAAAAGCCACATTTCTCCCAAATATTCGGTATCTATCATGGAATCAAGGCTGAAGGGTTGCGATATCTATAGTACCGAGCCAAAGGGTTAAAAGGCTCATGGTTTCTGGATTAGGTTAGTTGCGTATCCTTTACAGGACGTTGCAGAATCAACCCCAGTAGCCCCTGGCTGTTGTGTGGTTTCTCTGGGTAAATTTACGTCCAGTAGTTTGCCATTGCTTCCTGGACGGGCGGCCCCCTGATACCACTGTCGAAACCAACGCAAGGCGCAGGGCCCGCATCTGGGACCGAACCCGGCACCCGGCATTACGAAGCGTTCGCATCGACTTAGCCACAGAACCGACGGTTTCTGCATACTTTAATTTTTTTTTAAAATTAACAATGTATGAGCTATAATTGTTAGGCATAAATATTAATTTCTTTAAATAGAATCATTTGTGTATCCGACTTATAACCCGGATGAATTTAACAGAATATTGTTATTCAAGGTACTACTACTTCATTCAGGACGATTTTTTTTATAGTGTATATAAAGTGTACACTTCAACGTTTCATCCACAGCTTCTGTATAGACCCGGACAGCATACTTCATCTTGAGCCTACTACAGTCAAGTGTGACACTCTTTCACAAGATTATCCATTGCAAAGAACACAGGTTAGCCAGAACTATCAGGATCATCTGCAACTGCAAGAACAGACGTCACTGTTGTAATCATTACCGACGGGCATAAACAAATAAAATAAAGCAAAGAGTTGAGTTAAGTTGAGTTAAGAATTGACATCACAGCACTCGGGGTATTACCATACGCGCTCCGTCCCCACTCTCAGCAGCCAGCGTAGAGTTCCAATACTAATGGTGCCAATCGCAGTCAGGTTTTTGCCGTCTTGCTTTTTCTCTGAGCGCAGTGTGCCGGCCGGACCCTCTGGTCACACCCAGGTGCATCATTCTCTCCAGCCCATAATATTCTAGCTGCAAAATATAGTATGCACTATAACTAAGCAATGATTGATATGGATACATAACTACGTCTAAAAATAATATTTGTATGTCTTATTTAGCGGTGTCCTTGGCTTAGGCGTTGCGAGTCCGACTCCTACGTACCGTGATCAAAACCCACTGCTAGCTGCGTGGATATTTATCGTGGTATGGGGCGTCGCAGGTCGACCCAGTCTAAAATGGTTACCAGGATGGTTGTCCTGACGACCGGCGTAATGCTGACCACATTACCCACCTAGTGCCGATTGGTCTGTAAAATTATGGGATGCTCTTCTCCTGAATCCGATGCACCTTTACTTATGTCTTATTGCTTTTCCTACGTGACAAGGTCAAGCAATTTATTGATAAAACTAAAATGATATACCGAGAGGTTAAAGAATGCCCATGTCATCTGTGTAGATGTTTCCCCTAAAGATAAAACCGAGGAGAATGATCACTAAGGGAATAATAAATCCAGCATGTTAATGACACAATGTTAGTAAGATTGCCTAATTATTCTTGGTACACTTCCCATCATAATCACAACCCTAATGAAAGCAATTAAGATTACCTAATTATTCTTGGTACACTTTCCATCATAATTACAACCCTAATGAAAGCAATTAAGATTGCCTAATTATTCTTGGTACACTTTCCATCATAATTATAACCCAAATGAAAGCAATTAAGATTGTATAATTATTCTTTGTACACTTTCCATCACAACCCTAATGAAAGCAATTAAGATTGCCTAATTATTCTTGGTACACTTTCCATCACAACCCTAATGAAAGCAATTAAGATTGCCTAATTATTCTTGGTACACTTTCCATCATAATTACAACCCAAGTGAAAGCAATTAAGATTGCCTAATTATTCTTTGTACACTTTCCATCATAATTACAACCCAAGTGAAAGCAATTAAGATTGCCTAATTATTCTTGGTACACTTTCCATCATAATTACAACCCTAATGAAAGCAATTAAGATTGCCTAATTATTCTTGGTACACTTTCCATCATAATTACAACCCAAATGAAAGCAATTAAGATTGTCTAATTATTCTTTGTACACTTTCCATCATAATTACAACCCAAATGAAAGCAATTAAGATTGTCTAATTATTCTTTGTACACTTCCCATCACAACCCTAATGAAAGCAATTAAGATTGCCTAATTATTCTTGGTACACTTTCCATCATAATTACAACCCAAATGAAAGCAATTAGGATTGTCTAATTATTCTTTGTACACTTCCCATCATAATCACAACCCTAATGAAAGCAATTAAGATTGCCTAATTATTCTTGGTACACTTTCCATCATAATTATAACCCAAATGAAAGCAATTAAGATTGTCTAATTATTCTTTGTACACTTCCCATCATAATCACAACCCTAATGAAAGCAATTAAGATTGCCTAATTATTCTTGGTACACTTTCCATCATAATTATAACCCAAATGAAAGCAATTAAGATTGTCTAATTATTCTTTGTACACTTTCCATCATAATTATAACCCAAATGAAAGCAATTAAGATTGTCTAATTATTCTTTGTACACTTTCCATCATAATTACAACCCAAGTGAAAGCAATTAAGATTGTATAATTATTCTTTGTACACTTTCCATCATAATTACAACCCAAATGAAAGCACTATGTAAACAATTACAAATTACAAATCTCTTCAATGAATGAATTATTGAATGAATGAAGGAATTAATAAATGAATGAATTAAAGAATGAATGAATATAAGAATGAATGAATGAATGAATATAAGAATTAATGAATTAAAGAATGAATTAATATAAGAATGAATGAATGAATGGATGAATGATTGTATGGATGGATGGATGAATGAATGAATGAATTAAAGAATGAATGAATGAATTGATGGATGGATGGAGGGGTGAATGAATGGATGGATGGATGGATGGATGGATGGATGGATGAATGGATGGATGGATGGATGGATGGATGGATGGATGGATGGATGGATGGATGGATGGATGGATGGATGGATGGATGGATGGATGAATGAATGAATGGATGGATGGATGGATGGATGGATGGATAAATTAATGAATTAATTAATTAATTATTGAACATCACTACACTTGGAACATTCC